ACGTGTTAGACATGTCTGTACGTTACTGGGAAATGTAAACAAGAGTACGTGTTAGACATGTCTGTACCTTACTGGAAGTGCAACGAGAGTACGTGTTAGACATGTCTTTGCCTTACTGGAAATGTAACAAGAGTACGTGTTAGACATGTCTGTACCTTACTGGAAATGTAACAAGAGTACGTGTTAGACATGTCTGTACGTTACTGGAAGTGTAACAAGAGTACGTGTTAGACATGTATGTACCTTACTGGAAGTGCAACGAGAGTACGTGTTAGACATGTATGTACCTTACTTTAAGTGCAACGAGAGTACGTGTTAGACGCGTCTGTACCTTACTGGCAGTGTAACAAGAGTACGTGTTAGACATGTCTGTACCTTACTGGAAGTGCAACGAGGGTACGTGTTAGACATGTATGTACCTTACTGGAAGTGCAACGAGAGTACGTGTTAGACATGTATGTACGTTACTGGAAGTGCAACGAGAGTACGTGTTAGACATGTATGTACCTTACCGGAAGTGTAACAAGAGTACGTGTTAGACATGTATGTACCTAACTGGAAGTGTAGCAAGAGTACGTGTTAGACATGTATGTACTTCACTGGAAGTGTAACAAGAGTACGTGTTAGACATGTATGTACCAAACTGGAAGTGTAGCAAGAGTACGTGTTAGACATGTATGTACCTAACTGGAAGTGTAGCAAGAGTACGTGTTAGACATGTATGTACCTTACTGAAAGTGAAACAAGAGTATGTGTTAGACATGTATGTACCTTACTGGAAGTGTAACAAGAGTACGTGTTAGACATGTGTGTACCTTCCTGGAAGTGTAACAAGAGTAAGTGTTAGACATGTATGTACCTTACTTTAAGTGCAACGAGAGTACGTGTTAGAGACGTCTGTACCTTACTGGAAGTGTAACAAGAGTACGTGTTAAACATGTCTGTACCTTACTGGAAGTGTAACTAGAGTACGTGTTGGACATGTATGTACCTTACTGGAAGTGTAACAAGAGTATGTTAGACATGTATGTACCTTACTGGAAGTGTAGCAAGAGTACGTGTTAGACACGTCTGTACCTTACTGGAAGTGTAACGAGAGTACGTGTTAGACATGTCTGTACCTTAGTGGAAGTGTAACAAGAGTACGTGTTAGACATGTCTGTACCTTACTGGAAGTGTAACGAGAGTACGTGTTAGACATGTCTGTACCTTACTGGAAATGTAACAAGAGTACGTGTTAGACATGTCTGTACCTAACTGGAAGTGTAACAAGAGTACGTGTTAGACATGTCTGTACCTTCCTGGAAGTGTAACGAGAGTACGTGTTAGACATGTATGTACCTTACTGGAAGTGCAACGAGAGTACGTGTTAGACATGTCTCTACCTTACTGGAAGTGTAACGAGAGTATGTGTTAGACATGTATGTACCTTACTGGAAGTGCAACGAGAGTACGTGTTAGACATGCATGTACGTTACTGAAAGTGCAACGAGAGTACGTGTTAGACATATATGTACGGTACTGGAAGTGCAACGAGAGTACGTGTTAGACATGTCTGTACCTTACTGGAAGTGCAACGAGAGTACGTGTTAGACATGTCTGTACCTTACTGGAGATGCAACAAGAGTACGTGTTAGACATGTATGTACCTTACCGGAAGTGTAACAAGAGTACGTGTTAGACATGTATATACCTTTCCGGAAGTGTAGCAAGAGTACGTGTTAGACACTTCTGTACCTTACTGGAAGTGCAACGAGAGTACGTGTTAGACATGTCTGTACCTTACTGGAGATGCAACAAGAGTACGTGTTAGACATGTATGTACCTTACCGGAAGTGTAACAAGAGTACGTGTTAGACATGTATATACCTTTCCGGAAGTGTAGCAAGAGTACGTGTTAGACATGTATATACCTTTCCGGAAGTGTAGCAAGAGTACGTGTTAGACACTTCTGTACCTTACTGGAAGTGCAACGAGAGTACGCGTTAGACATGTATGTACCTTACTGGAAGTGTAACAAGAGTACGTGTTAGACATGTATGTACCTTACTGGAAGTGCAACAAGAGTACGTGTTAGACATGTATGTACCTTACTGGAAGTGTAACAAGAGTACGTGTTAGACATGTATGTACCTTACTGGAAGTGTAACAAGAGTACGTGTTAGACATGTATGTACCTTACTGGAGGTGCAACGAGAGTACGTGTTAGATATGTATGTACCTTACTGGAAGTGCAACGAGAGTACGTGTTAGACATATATGTACCTTACTAGAGGTGCAACAAGAGTACGTGTTAGACATGTATGTATCTTACTGGAGGTGCAACAAGAGTACGTGTTAGACATGTCTGTACCTTACTGGAAGCGCAACAGGAGTAGGTGTTAGACATGTCTGTACCTTACTGGAAGTGCAACAAGAGTACGTGTTAGACATGTCTGTACCTTACTTGAAGTGCAACGAGAGTACGTGTTAGACATGTATGTACGTTACTGGAAGTGCAACGAGAGTACGTGTTAGACATATATGTACCTTACTGGAGGTGCAACGAGAGTACGCGTTAGACATGTATGTACCTTACTTGAGGTGCAACGAGAGTACGTGTTAGACATGTATGTATCTTACTGGAAGTGCAACAAGAGTACGTGTTAGACATGTCTGTACCTTACTTGTGGTGCAACGAGAGTACGTGTTAGACATGTATGTACCTTACTGGAGGTGCAACGAGAGTACGTGTTAGACATGTATGTACCTTACTGGAGGTGCAACGAGAGTACGTGTTAGACATGTATGTACCTTACTGGAGGTGCAACGAGAGTACGTGTTAGACATGTCTGTACCTTACTGGAGGTACAACGAGAGTACGTGTTAGACATGTCTGTACCTTACTGGAGGTGCAACGAGAGTACGTGTTAGACATGTCTCTACCTTACTGGAGGTGCAACGAATGTACATGTTAGACATGTATGTACCTTACTGGAGGTGCAACGAGAGTACGTGTTAGACATGTATGTACCTTACTGGAGGTGCAACGAATGTACATGTTAGACATGTATGTACCTTACTGGAGGTGCAACGAGAGTACGTGTTAGACATGTCTGTACCTTACTGGAGGTGCAACGAGAGTACGTGTTAGACATGTCTGTACCTTACTGATTCTCGCCGCTGCCATTCTTATGTTTTGGTTTATTTTATTAGGAAATTCACTAGATTTTTATGAGATTAAGAAAATCTGTATTAAATTTGTTTTTCAGGATCGATAATGGTGTAGGATGGACCGAAATAGTGAATTAATCTAACTGGGATAATGTGGCCATTATTCTTAAGGGATTAGTTCAATACTTTCTTTATATGTCCTGGGCCATTTCTTGCGTAGTCTTATTATTTGGAATTATCAGAATACTGTCTCTAAGTCGATCGTGTTATTAGGAACTCAGGATCACTTAATTATGAACTGTCTCTCAGTTGAACGTGTTATTAGGGACTCAGGATCACTTAATTATGAAATGTCTCTCAGTTGAACGTGTTATTAGGAACTCAGGATCACTTAATTATGAAATGTCTCTCAGTTGAAACGTGTTATTAGGAACTCAGGATCACTTAATTATGAAATGTCTCTCAGTTGAACGTGTTATTAGGAACTCAGGATCACTTAATTATGAAATGTCTCTCAGTTGAACGTGTTATTAGGAACTCAGGATCACTTAATTATGAACCGTCTCTCAGTTGAACGTGTTATTAGGGTCTCAGAATTATGAACTGTCTCTCAAGAATATTCTTTGGAACCTCACGTTAAGTATTCACACAGTTGATCTCTGTATTTGATCATTTGTTATTGTCTTTGATCCTCTTCATTGAGTTTCATCATCTGAGTATAGTGCCATTTATATTGATGTACATCAAGAATATTGGTTCTGATTTGGTTAGTCTTATGTTTTGTATTTCTCCATATTAGGTAGGTCTGAAAGTAAGGTGCTGGAGTTGGTAAGGTGCAGGAGTAGGTAAGGTGTTGGAGTTGGTAAGGTGCAGGAGTAGGTAAGGTGCTGGAGTAGGTAAGGTGTGTGAGTGGTAAGGTGCAGGAGTAGGTAAGGTGCTGGAGTAGGTAAGGTGCGGAGTAGGTAAGGTGCTGGAGTAGGTAAGGTGCTGGAGTAGGTAAGGTGCTGGAGTAGGTAAGGTGCTGGAGTATGGTAAGGTGCAGGAGTAGGTAAGGTGCTGGAGTAGGTAAGGTGTGGAGTTGGTAAGGTGCTGGAGTAGGTAAGGTGCTGGAGTAGGTAAGGTGCAGGAGTAGGTAAGGTGCTGGAGTAGGTAAGGTGCAGGAGTAGGTAAGGTGCTGGAGTAGGTAAGGTGCTGGAGTAGGTAAGGTGCTGGAGTAGGTTAAGGTGCTGGAGTAGGTAAGGTGCTGGAGTAGGTAAGGTGCTGGAGTAGGTAAGGTGCTGGAGTAGGTAAGGTGCTGGAGTAGGTAAGGTGCTGGAGTAGGTAAGGTGCTGGAGTAGGTAAGGTGCTGGAGTAGGTAAGGTGCTGGAGTAGGTAAGGTGCTGGAGTAGGTAAGGTGCTGTAATTCAGTTCAATATTCCGCAGTTTTTTTCACTCAGCAGTTTAGTTCGTCATCATGTTGGCCTATTAATTCCTTCTCTAGTAAATAGATGGGATCCTTATTCCATAATGGTACATACGCTATTACATTCCATTTTGTATAATTAAATTGTTTTTTTATGCCATTTTCTCCGTTATGTTGATATTAGCTTTGTTTAGCATTATTGCAGTTGTAATTGTTCGTTGACATACAAGCAGGAACAATGTTCTTAAGATATACATTAAAACAATTGAGAGAGAAGTAAATTTTCGTCTTGAGGGCTGTTAAAATACTGAAGAAACAAATCAGAATTACGTACCATGTCTGGTTTCTGCGGATATGGATATATTTCTGAATAAGGTTTTTTTTTAAATTAAATCACTGAAGCGCACCTGTACACTACCAGGAGCAACTTTCTGTAGCAACTCACTGATGACTGTGAGGTTGGTTCTAGCGTTCCTGGTGGGACTCTTCTTGAAGTCAACGCGGCAGCGGTACAGACCCTCGTCACTGGCCCGCACGTTGTCTAAGACGAGCGAAGCTGGTGACGACTGCAAGTCGAAGTGACCACGACCGCCCAGCGTCTTCTCGTCCGCCCAGTTCCTTGCGTCCAGGAGACTGTGCTTTCGAGAATCGTAGCTGTGAGGAGAGGGAAAACAAACTATACTTTTTACCATTCTGAAGCATTATTATATACGAGTGTTCCTGAAGTCTGCGGTGGCAACAACAGCAGAAAGATTCTAAACTATTCTGGACGAATTTCATGGTGGGTACAACTGCAGTCGGAGTTAAACTTTTTTAAATGAGGGATATTGTGGGAGCAAACTATATTCCATAAGAGAAAGTGGGTTTCTTAGACGGTGTAATAAATTGCGTCAACCTGATCTGGATTACTACAAACGACGAGGAAATCGTCAACATTAACAAGATTTAATCCCAGGTGGGCTGAAGCAGTTTAGTTTGAATTACCAAACACATAGGAAACAGAAACTTATAATGACGTTTCGGTCCGACTTGGGCCACTTTGTGACAAGCTACTGATCCAAGTTACTGTCTCGTATGTGTGGGTGTTTTGTGTACTGTGCCAGTCAAGGTCATATGAATCTCTACCATCACTGAAGATGCAAGTGTCAGCGACACTGTTGAAAACTGTTTTTAGCCAAATAAATACTACCACTTCTTTCCTCCCTTGTTTGTTCAATAAATTTGTTCTTAGACCCATATTTTGAAACATCAGCCCTCCTGTAAGTAAATATTTTAAATTCTTTCCACGCTGTCACCAGTCTTCAATATTTATACTTATTCTCATCGTTTACGTCTTATCTGTGAGCACTTTCACCTACATTGTAAACACCATTCTAAATTCCCCCATAAATTATCTTCAGAATCTTGCAACAACAGTACGTACTGAGAAATTTTTGTTTCTAGATCTACACCGTGTGTCCTCTCCCTCTGGGATTAACTTTTTTTTATTGTCTCATCTATAGAAATATTAAAGAAAGAAATATTACACATTCCCTTCAATATTTCTCTTTTTTCTGGAAAACATTTCTCATTTTTTTTCATTTAACACTGTTTAGTGAGTCACTTTGAGCAACCTCACAGTTATGTCATATTTTTTCAGCACTATGGACATTGATGCATTATCCACTCTCTCGAATCTCTTTTGAAAACCATAAAAAAAACTCATTTGCCTCACGTAAAAGATACTTCTGCCTTATGCTTTTGTGGAAACACTCGCTCTAAACATCTTGTATTTCTCAGTTCACATTGTTCCTCTTCCATCAGACTCTTACTTTATCTGCACTCTTCTGCTTCCCCTTCACTATCAACACGACTACTACGGAAAAAAAATCAACCATTTTAACCACCACAACGATTTCTCCACCTGCTGCAGTACCCTCGTCCTGCTTCCAGAAGGAAGCAGCAGGACACCGGTAATCCCTCACGGCTGAGCACAGGACACAAAGAGTCGCGAAATCCTCCAGAAAAGGTTTGGTAATTCTATATTCAGGTGATCCTGCCATCACTCGCTACTGACATGACAGTAAGTGGGAGAGATGGTTTGGTTGTCTTGGTTGTAGAAGTGATATAGCTTAGAAAACTGACAAGTTGAAGAGTGAGATTCTTGTGCAATATTTAGGAATATTTATTACGGAAACATTTTGTCAGCCAGTGGCTTTATCAGTCCATTACTGAGAAGGACGGTGAAAGATGAGGAGGATTTTGAGGTAATCAGTCCCTCAGCCTGGAGTCGATGTGTTCAGTCCATCAAAATTAATGGAGTGAACACATCGACTCTAGGCTAAAGGACTGATTACCTCAAACTCCTTCTCATCTTCCATCGGTCTTCTCTGGATTATTGAACTTAATGTCTGTCGACAAAGCCATGAAATGGGTAATAAATTAAGCTCTCAACACATATTCACTTACATTACACACTATATACGAGTTTAAAACCTTAAAGATAATTTGACCTTTTACTAGACAAATTTTACCTGTGTGTATCTCTCCTGTTCAGTCACAAATATTGGTAACAGACAAAATGTTCAAAACATTTGGTTTCTTATATCTATGTTTTGCATCTTTATTTTGGAATGACTGTAGTGAAATATTTATGGTCTGTCAAATATAATTTTGAGACTAAAACGACAGTGAAGTGTTTGGCAATATAAATAAAAAACATATTACCAGAGCTTTATCGTTAACGCAAGCCGTAAGTAAGATTAGTACATCAGTCTCAGTGGTGTATTTTCAGTGTTCATCAATTGGAAGTAATGTGCTTTAAAGACAATATTACTAGAATCCTTAGCTCTGTGAATATTTCGTAGAGAATTGCTAATTTTTCAGTATATTTAAAAATCTGAACTGATATAGGCTAAGATCAGCTTATATACTGAGTTTAACCTGGTAGAGAGATTGCCGGGGAGTCAAATTCGCCCCTGCTGTGCCGGTCTGTTAGTCCAAATTATGGTAAAATCAAATGGTACGACGCAGTTTCTATATCGCCTAACTGTATTTAGATTTATTTGAAGAAATTAACGATTAGGAATTTTGAATGCGATATGTCCAGACAAATTTTACAGACTTACATATCGCATGAATGTTATGCATAAAAAGTTAAAATATATTACCGACTCTTAATCGTAACCCAGAATTAAATACACAACTCATTGAGTGTTACATGGTTAGAAGTGTGGAGACACAGTGTCTAAAGGTGAGCAGACAAGGGTAGAAGAGTGGCAGCCAGGTAGAATTTGGCAGAACAGGGTAGAATGTGGCAGTACAGGGTTAGAAAGTGGCAGAACGGTAAGAAGGTCGCGCATACCGGGTTACCGAAGGTGGCAGCCGGGGTCAAGCCCCGGGCACCGGCGAAGGTAGAATGCTGGCACGTCCAGCTACGCCAACGTTGCATACACAGAACTTAAGATGTAGTGCAACAGTTCCAGAGTTTCAATCACACGCCGTAAGGTTTGGCAAAACCCGTATAATCAGCCAACACCATTGAAGGTTCACAGGGTAGAAGTGTGGCAGACACAGGGTAGAAGTGTGGCAGACACAGGGTAGAAGTGTGGCAGACACAGGGTAGAAGTGTGGCAGACACAGGGTAGAAGTGTGGCAGTCACAGGGTAGAAGTGTGGCAGACACAGGGTAGAGGTGTGGTAGACACAGGGTAGAGGTGTGGCAGACACAGGGTAGAGGTGTGGCAGACACAGGGTAGAAGTGTGGCAGACACAGGGTAGAAGTGTGGCAGACACAGCGGTAGAGTGTGGCAGACACAGGTAGAAGTGTGGCAGACACAGGGTAGAAGTGTGGCAGACACAGGTAGAAGTGTGGCAGACACGGGTAGAAGTGTGGCAGACACAGGGTACAAGTGTGGCAGACACAGGGTAGAGGTGTGGCAGACACAGGGTAGAGGTGTGGTAGACACAGGGTAGAGGTGTGGCAGACACAGGGTAGAAGGTGTGGATAGACACAGGGTAGAAGTGTGGCAGACACAGGGTAGAGGTGTGGTAGACACAGGGTAGAGGTGTGGCAGACACAGGGTAGAGGTGTGGTAGACACAGGGTAGAAGTGTGGCAGACACAGGGTAGAAGTGTGGCAGACACAGGGTAGAGGTGTGGCAGACACAGGGTAGAGGTGTGGTAGACACAGGGTAGAAGTGTGGCAGACACAGGGTAGAAGTGTGGCAGACACAGGGTAGAAGTGTGGCAGACACAGGGAAGAGGTGTGGCAGACACAGGGTAGAAGTGTGGCAGACACAGGGTAGAAGTGTGGCAGACACAGGGTAGAGTGTGGCAGACACAGGGAAGAGGTGTGGCAGACACAGGATAGAAGGTGTGGAGACATAAGGTAGAGGTGGTGTGGCAGACACAGGGTAGAGGTGTGGAGACACAGGGTAGAGGTGTGGCAGACACAGGGAGAAGGTGTGGCAGATCAGGGTAGGATGTGGCAGATACAGGGTAGAGATGTGGCAGACTAAAATAGAGGTGTGGCAGACACAGGGTAGAGGTGTGGCAGACACAGGGTAGAGGTTGGCAGACACAGGGTAGAGGTGTGGAGACACAGGGTAGAGAAGTGTGGCAGATACAGGGTAGAGGTGTGGCAGATACAGGGTAGAGGTGTGGCAAACATAAGGTAGAGGTGTGGTAGACACAGGGTAGAGGTGTGGTAGACACAGGGTAGAAGTGTGGCAGACACAGGCTAGAGGTGTGGTAGACACAGGGTAGAGGTGTGGCAGACACAGGGTAGAGGTGTGGCAGACACAGGGTAGAGTGTGGCAGACACAGGGTAGAAGTGTGGCAGACAGGGTAGAAGGTGTGGCAGACACAGGGTAGAGAGTGTGGCAGACACAGGGTAGAAGTGTGGCAGACACAGGGTAGAAGTGTGGCAGACACAGGGTAGAAGTGTGGCAGTCACAGGGTAGAAGTGTGGCAGACACAGGGTAGAGGTGTGGTAGACACAGGGTAGAGGTGTGGCAGACACAGGGTAGAGGTGTGGCAGACACAGGGTAGAAGTGTGGCAGACACAGGGTAGAAGTGTGGCAGACACAGGGTAGAGATGTGTGGCAGACACAGGGTAGAAGTGTGGCAGACACAGGGTAGAAGTGTGGCAGACACAGGGTAGAAGTGTGGCAGACACAGGGTAGAAGTGTGGCAGACACAGGGTAGAAGTGTGGCAGACACAGGGTAGAGGTGTGGCAGACACAGGGTAGAGGTGTGGTAGACACAGGGTAGAGGTGTGGCAGACACAGGGTAGAGGTGTGGTAGACACAGGGTAGAAGTGTGGCAGACACAGGGTAGAGGTGTGGTAGACACAGGGTAGAGGTGTGGCAGACACAGGGTAGAGGTGTGGTAGACACAGGGTAGAAGTGTGGCAGACACAGGGTAGAAGTGTGGCAGACACAGGGTAGAGGTGTGGCAGACACAGGGTAGAGGTGTGGTAGACACAGGGTAGAAGTGTGGCAGACACAGGGTAGAGGTGTGGTAGACACAGGGAAGAAGTGTGGCAGACACAGGGTAGAAGTGTGGCAGACACAGGGTAGAAGTGTGGCAGACACAGGGAAGAGGTGTGGCAGACACAGGATAGAGGTGTGGTAGACATAAGGTAGAGGTGTGGCAGACACAGGGTAGAGGTGTGGCAGACACAGGGTAGAGGTGTGGCAGACACAGGGAAGAGGTGTGGCAGATGCAGGGTAGAGATGTGGCAGATACAGGGTAGAGATGTGGCAGACATAAAATAGAGGTGTGGCAGACACAGGGTAGAGGTGTGGCAGACACAGGGTAGAGGTATGGCAGACACAGGGTAGAGGTGTGGTAGACACAGGGTAGAGGTGTGGCAGATACAGGGTAGAGGTGTGGCAGATACAGGGTAGAGGTGTGGCAAACATAAGGTAGAGGTGTGGTAGACACAGGGTAGAGGTGTGGTAGACATAAGGTAGAGGTGTGGCAGACACAGGGTAGAGGTGTGGAAGACACAGGGTAGAGGTGTGGCAGATACAGGGTAGAGGTGTGGTAGACACAGGGTAGAGGTGTGGTAGACACAGGGTCGAGGTGTGGTAGACACAGGGTAGAGGAGTGTAGACACAGTGTAGAGGTGTGGTAGACACAGGGTAGAGGTGTGGTAGACACAGGGTAGAGGTGTGGCAGACACAAGCTAGAGGTGTGGCAGACAAAGGGTAGAGGTGTAGAAGACACAGTGTAGAGGTGTGGTAGACACATGGTAGAGGTGTGGTAGACACAGGGTAGAGGTGTGGCAGACACAAGCTAGATGTGTGGTAGACACAGGGTAGAGGTGTGGTAGACACAGTGCAGAGGTGTGGTAGACACAGGATAGAGGTGTGGTAGACACAGTGTAGAGGTGTGGTAGACACAGGGTAGAGGTGTGGTAGACACAGGGTAGAGGTGTGGTAGACACAGGGAAGAGGTGTGGCAGACACAAGCAAGAAGTGTGGTAAACAAAGGGTAGAGGTGTGGCAGACACAAGGTAGAGGTGTGGCAGACACAGGGTAGAGGTGTGGAAGACACAGAGTAGAGGTGTGGTAGACACAGGGTGGAGGTGTGGTAGACACAAGGTAGAGGTGTGGTAGACACAGGGTAGAGGTGTGGTAGACACAGAGTAGAGGTGTGGCAGACACAGGGAAGAGGTGTGGCAGACACAGGGTAGAGGAGTGGCAGACACAGGGGAGAGGTGTGACAGATACAGGGTAGAGGTGTGGCAGATACAGGGTAAAGGTGTGGCAGACATAAGGTAGAGGTGTGGCAGACACAGGGAAGAGGTGTGGTAGACACAGGGTAGAGGTGTGGCAGATACAGGGTAGAGGTGTGGCAAACACAGAGTAGAGGTGTGGTAGACACAGGGTAGAGGTGTAGTAGACACAGGGTAGAGGTGTTGTAGACACAGGGTAGAGGTGTGGTAGACACAGTGTAGAGGTGTGGTAGACACAGGGTAGAGGTGTGGTAGACACAGGGTAGAGGTGTGGTAGACACAGGGTTGAGGTGTGGTAGACACAGGGTAGAGGTGTGGTAGACACAGAGTAGAGGTGTGGTAGACACAGGGTAGAAGTGTGGTAGACAAAGGGTAGAGGTGTGGTAGACTCAAGGTAAAAGTGTGGCAGACACAGGGTAGAGGTGTGATAGACACAGGGTAGAGGTGTGGTAGACACAGGGTAGAGGTGTGGCAGACACAGGTAGAGGTGTGTAGACACAGGGTAGAGGGTGGTAGACACAGGGTAGAGGTGTGGCAGACACAAAGTAGAGGTGTGGTAGACACAGTGTAGAGGTGTGGTAGACACAGGGTAGAGGTGTGGTAGACACAGGGTAGAGGTGTGGCAGACACAAGATAGAGGTGTGGTAGACACAGGGTAGAGGTGTGGTAGACACAGTGTAGAGGTTGTGGTAGACACAGGGTAAGAGGTGTGGTAGACACAGGGTAGAGGTGTGGCAGACACAAGATAGAGGTGTGGTAGACACAGGGTAGAGGTGTGGTAGACACAGTGTAGAGGTGTGGTAGAGACAGGGTAGAGGTGTGGTAGACACAGGGTAGAGGTGTGGCAGACACAAAGTGGAGGTGTGGTAGACACAGTGTAGAGGTGTGGGTAGATACAGGGTAGGTGGGTAGACGGGTAGCAGGTGCAGACACAAGCTAGAGGTGTGGTAGACACAGGGTAGAGGTGTGGCAGACACAAAGTAGAGGTGTGGTAGACACAAAGTAGAGGTGTGGCAGACACAGGGAAGAGGTGTGGCAGACACAGGGTAGAGGTGTGGCAGACACAGGAAGAGGTGTGGCAGATACAGGGTAGAGGTGTGGCAGACACAGGGTAGAGGTGTGGCAGACATAAGGTAGAGGTGTGGCAGACACAGGGTAGAGGTGTGGTAGACACAGGGTAGAGGTGTTGCAGATACAGGGTAGAGGTGTGGCAGATACAGGGTAGAGGTGTGGCAAACACAGAGTAGAGGTGTGGTAGACACAGGGTAGAGGTGAGGCAGACACGGGGTAGAGGTGTGGCAGACACAGGGAAGAGGTGTGGCAGATAGAGGGTAGAGGTGTGGCAGATACAGGGTAGAGGTGTGGCAGACATAAGGTAGAGGTGTGGCAGACACAGAGTAGAGGTGTGGCAGACACAAGGTAGAGTTGTGGTAGACACAGGGTAGAGGTGTGGTAGACACATGGTAGAGGTGTGGTAGACACAAAGTAGAGGTGTGTCAGACACAGGGAAGAGGTGTGGCAGACATAAGGTAGAGGTGTGGCAGACACCGGGAAGAGGTGTGGCAGATACAGGGTAGAGGTGTGGCAGATACAGGGTAGAGGTGAGGCAGACATAAGGTAGAGGTGTGGCAGACACAGGGTAGAAGTGTGGTAGACACAGGGTAGAGGTGTGGCAGATACAATGGTAGAGGTGTGGAACACAAGTTAGAGGTGTGGTAGACACAGGGTAAGAGGTGTGGCAGATAAGGTAGAGGTGTGGCAGACACGGGAAGAGGTGTGGCAGATACAGGGTAGAGGTGCGGCAGACACAGGGTAGAGGTGTGGCAGACATATGGTAGAGGTGTGGCAGACACAGGGTAGAGGTGTGGCAGACACAGGGTAGAGGTGTGGCAGACACAGGGTAGAGGTGTGGCAGATACAGGGTAGAGGTGTGGCAGATACAGGGTAGAGGTGTGGCAGACATAAGATAGATGTGTGGTAGACACAGGGTAGAGGTGTGGTAGACACAGGGTAGAGGTGTGGCAGATACAGGGTAGAGGTGTGGCAGACACTGGGTAGAGGTGTGGCAGATACAGAGTAGAGGTGTGGCAGATACAGGGTAGAGGTGTGGCAGAATAAGGTAGAGGTGTGGCTAGAACAGGGTAGAGGTTGAGTGAGTGGTAGACATAAGGTAGAGGTGTGGCAGACACAGGGTAGAGGTGTGGCAGACACAGGGTAGAGGTGTGGCAGACACAGGGAAGAGATGTGGCAGATACAGGGTAGAGGTGTGGCAGATACAGGGTAGAGGTGTGGCAGACATAAGGTAGAGGTGTGGCAGACACAGGGTCGAGGTGTGGCAGACACAGGGTAGAGGTGTGGCAGACACAGGGTAGAGGTGTGGCAGACACAGGGTAGAGGTGTGGTAGACACAGGGTAGAGGTGTGGCAGATACAGGGTAGAGGTGTGGCAGACACAGGGTAGAGGTGTGGCAGATACAGGGTAGAGGTGTGGCAAACACAGGGTAGAAGTGTGGTAGACACAGGGTAGAGGTGTGGCAGACACAGGGTAGAGGTGTGGCAGACACAAGGAAGAGTTGTGGCAGATACAGGGATGAAGTGTGGCAGATACAGGGTAGAGGTGTGGCAGACGTAAGGTAGAGATGTGGCAGACACAGGGTAGAGGTGTGGTAGACACAGGGTAGAGGTGTGGCAGACACAGGGTAGAGGTGTGGCAGACACAGGGAAGAGGTTTGGCTGATACAGGGTAGAAGTGTGGCAGATACAGGGTAGAGGTGTGGCAGTCACAGAGCAGAGGTATGGCAGACACAGTGCAGAGGTGTGGTAGACACAGGGAAGAGGTGAGGCAGACACAGGGTAGAGGTGTGGCAGACATAAGGTAGAGGTGTGGCAGACACAGAGCAGAGGTTAGCAGATAGAAGTAGAGGTGTGGCAGTCACAGGAAGTAGGCGCGTGCCAGGACATAATGTAGAGGAGTGGCAGACACAGGGTAGAGGTGTGGCCAGACATAAGGTAGAGGTGTGGCAGACACAGAGCAGAGGTATAGCAGAAGTAAAGTAGAGGTGTGGCAGACACAGGGTAGAGGTGTGCCAGACATAATGTAGAGGAGTGGCAGACACAGGGCAGAGGTGTGCCAGACATAATGTAGAGGTGTGGCAGACACAGGGTAGAGGTGTGCCAGACATAATGTAGAGGTGTGGCAGACACAGGGTAGAGGTGTGCCAGACATAAAGTAGAGGTGTGGCAGACACAGGGTAGAGGTGTGCCAGACATAATGTAGAGGTGTGGCAGACACAGGGTAGAGGTGTGCCAGACATAAAGTAGAGGTGTGGCAGACACAGGGTAGAGGTGTGCCAGACATAAAGTAGAGGTGTGGCAGACACAGGGTAGAGGTGTGCCAGACATAAAGTAGAGGTGTGGCAGACACAGGGTAGAAGTGTGCCAGACATAAAGTAGAGGTGTGGCAGACACAGGGTAGAGGTGTGCCAGACATAAAGTAGAGGTGTGGCAGACACAGGGTAGAGGTGTGCCAGACATAAAGTAGAGGTGTGGCAGACACAGGTATGATACCACATGACATTATTCACCAGTTGTTCCTTACCTGTAGATGGGGGCTCCGACACCATCCTTGTACCAGAGTACCAGCACTACACGGTCACTGGCGTCTGTTGTCGCCACGTCACACGGCATCTCTGCTCGACCTCCCTTCACCACGTGAACCATGAACAACGGCCCAGCTGAATGCAAGGAAAGAAAGGGAATCGTGTTCATATTAACGTTAATGTAATTGTGTTTACGCATTTGTAGGTACACCCATTAGTCAGTTATGGTAGTTTCTGACTTCTAGTGCCGGGTGACACTCTTGTAACTCTGTACAGTTTTTGCCTCCACCCTCATAAAGTGTGTCCCATTTGATTATCAGCCTGAGACTTTGAGCCTCATCTGCGTCAATGTGCGGTCTCATGCACGGCCACACACACACACATACACACACACACACACACACACACACACACACACACACACACACACACACACACACACACACACACACACACACACACACACACACACACACACACATACACACAAACACACACAAAGTTTTGTAATTCAGTGGAGAAGAAAATATTTACAGAGCTCAAGAAGTGGGAATTATGAGCTGTTGCTTCAGAGGCAAAGGAACAGAGCCTTGAGGATGAACTGGAAGTGCTGAAGCAGAATATAAAAGTGAGGAATGATAAGAGGAAGGTGCTGGGTGCAGGAACATTAGCAGACAGTGAAGGGATTGAAAGAGGGTAAGGAAAAAAGAAGCCCCTTGAGGAAATTATACCAGGCCACTGTGACGTCTGGGAGATGATAAGGGAAACAAGCAAGGAGATACTTAAATCAAACCCAGAAATATGGAGGGGAACGAATTGGGAAGAGGAGAGGGAGAGGTCACTTATTAATTATGGGTTCCATGAAGCAGAAGGAAAGATCTATCTTGAAAGAAGACAGGGAGGTAAAAGAGGTTGAGAACATCATCGTGATAGCAGGAGAGGACATGACACAGCTGAAATTTTTTTCAGAGATTTGGGCAGTACTCGAGGGGAAAGTGCCTCCCCCCCAATCAGATTGACATGAAAGACAGAAATTGTACAAAACTAAATCCTGCAGAGGAAACCACAGTTAAAGGATTCCCCAAAATACCAGAGAGTGTACTTTAGACCATGGCAGAACACATAAAGAATGGGAACAACTGAGAGAGAGAATAAGAAGGCACCACAGGCTAGAAGGGGAGACAGAGCAGGTACTGAGAGACAGGGGAGTGCAGTCTCGAGGGAAAAAGCAAACATAACTGCCTTCAGAACCACCAACAGCATCCCCTCAACCCATATCAAACCATGCCAACCAAGCACAATACCCAGAAGCAAGAAACACTCTATACCTATATTCCCACCACCCCCATCAGCACCAATACTACCACAACACTCGCCTACCATAATATCCATCCCTGACTACCACACTCTCAGCCTGCACCAACCCCTCCCATGCTCTCCTGAATGCAATTCTGGTAAGGAAGCTGAAGGTATGGTATACCAACACAGATGGAATAGCAAATAAGAGTGACGAGTGGCAGGAAAGAATCACAGAGGCATCCCTGTACTTCATAACACTCACAGGGATGATAACAGATGCAATCTTCCCGTCTGAATATCAGATCCTAAGATAAGATAAGATAAGATTTCGTTCGGATTTTTAACCCTGGAGGGTTAGCCACCCAGGATAACCCAAGAAAGTCAGTGCGTCATCGAGGACTGTCTAACTTATTTCCATTGTGGTCCTTAATCTTGTCCCCCAGGATGCGACCCACACCAGTCGACTAACACCCAGGTACCTATTTGCTGCTAGGTGAACAGGACAACAGGTGTAAGGAAACGTGTCGAAATGTTTCCACCCGCCGGGAATCGAACCCGGGCCCTCCGTGTGTGAAGCGGGAGCTGTAGCCACCAGGCCACCGGGCCTGACAGAAAGACAGGAACAGAGGGGGAAGAGGAGTTAAATGCTCATCAAAAACAATGGAGTTTTGAGGAGATAGGAGGACTAGTTGGAGGTGAAGCAGATGACTACATAGTAGGAATGCTTCAAACCGGGGGTCCAAAAATGGTGATAGTAGTGATGTACAACCTGCCACCGAACAGCAGGAGATCTAGACAAAAATACGATGAGAGCAACAGAACTATGGTGACCACACTAGCTGAGGTGGCCAGAAGGGCCCACATAAGGAGGGCAAAGTTACTCATCATGGGGGATTTCAACCACAAGAGACAGACTGGGAAAATTTTGAGCCACATAATGGACTGGAGAGCCAAGATGCTGGAAGTAGTGCTGGAAAGCTTTATATACCAACATGTTAGGGACACAACCACAGACGGAGAGGGAAGACGAGGAACAAGCAAGGCTGGACCTCAAATTCACCATGAAGAGTTCATAATGGAAATCACAAGCAAAACGCCCCTCGGCACTAACGATCATGTGGTCTCTTGATTTCGAATACATAGCAGAGATAACAATAAAGAGAGACACAGCACGAAAAGAACGTGAGACACCAAACTTCAAAGAAGGAGATTACACTCGTATAGCTGACATTTTTGTATATAAAATTAAGAAGAAAATTATCAGGAGAAGAGTAATGGAGCACTTAGAATGGAACAAGATCATTCAAGACAACTAACACGACTTCAGGGAAGGGAAATCCTGCGTCACAAACCTACCGGAGTTCTACGATACGGCAGAATAAGAAAGACAGGGCAGAGTGGGATAGGTAGACTGCCTCTTCTTGGACAGTAAGAAGGCTTTCGATAAAAAACTGCACAAGAGACTGGTTGAAAAGCTTCATGACACGAAGGAAACAACGTGTGTTGGTACGTGATGAGGTGTCAGAGTGGGTGTATGTGTCGAGTGGGGATCCACAAGGGTCAGTCCTAGGTTCGGTGCTGTTTCTAGTATGTGTGAATGACATAACAGAATGGATAGATTCAGAGGTGTCCCAGTTCGAAAATAACGTGAAGCTAATGAGGAGAATACTAGTGGACGAGGATCAAGTAAGCCTAGAAGGAGATCTTGACAGACTGCAAGCCTGGTCCGATAAATGGGTCCTTGAATTTAACCACAGCAAGTGCAAAGTCAAGAAGTTTGGGGAAGGACAGAGAAGAGCGCAGACGAAGTACAGCCTATGAGGTCAAAGGCTGCAAAACTCACTTAAGGAAAAGGACCTTGGAGTGAGCATCATACCGAGCACATCTCGTGAAGCACACATCAACGAGATAACAGCTGTAGTATATGGGCGCAAGACACTGTACACTCTGTACGTCAGACCCATACTGGAGTAAGCAGCACCAGTATGGAACCCTCACCTGGTCAGACACTTCAAGAAATTGGAGAAAGTACAAAAATTTGAAACAAGACTTGTCCCGGAGCTAGGAGGGATGGAGAGGACATGATAACGACATGTAAAATATTGAGAGGACTCGACAAGATGGACAGGAGCAATAAAGGGTCACAGCTGGAAGTTGAAAACACAGATGAATCAACGGGATGTTAGGAAGTATTTCTTCGGTCACAGAGTTGTGAGGACGTGAACAATCTGGAGAGTGATGTGGTAGAGGCAGGAGCCATGCATAACTTTAAGAAGAGGTTCGATAAAGCTCATGGAGAAGGGAGAGAATGAGCCTAGTAGCGACCAGCGAAGAGGCGGGGCCAGGAGCTATGAATCGACCCCTGCAACCACAAATATGTGAGCACACAAAAAATTCCAATGGCCAAATGTTTCTCGATAAGTGCCTTTGACAAATTGTAACCACTACTACTACTACTACTACTACTACTACTATTACTACTACTATTACTACTACTACTACTACTACAAAGTAAAATCACTATATAAGGGTAAGTGTCATAAATTCCATCCTTATATATATATATATAATATATATTAATATATATATTTTAAATATATATATTTTATATATATTTTATATAATATATATATATATATTTCTTATATTTGATGACCTTTAAGAGGCGAGCTCGCGCTGGCTCATCCCTTCGCTACTTAAATAGCTTTGGGAAAATGCTAGAAACTTATGTAGGTAGCGAATGGTTGGTTTTGAGAAGAACCTGCCTAGTGTGGGCAGGCTTTGTCTTTCTATTCATTGTAACCAGTATTGCTATAACCTATGGTAACCTCAACCCGTATAACTAAGTGTTGGGTCGCTCTAGTCTTGTGGTACTGTGAGTAGAAGGTAACTCTCAGATTCTGGTTCATCTAGTTACCTGACGGCTGAGCAGTTGTATCAATGGTATGATCATCATCCCTCACCCACAACACAACTTGGCAGACCCCAAGACAGTCTTACCCAGGCTACGACAACACTGGCAGATGACAACTGCTGACCGGGATGTCTTCTTTAATGTGCCCTACCTAGCACGTCTCTACAGAGCTCAGATCCCAGCAAGCCTTCCATTTTCTCCGTTGTTCACATAATTTACTCTATTACTTTTCATAATAACCTCAGTTAGGATTAATTGTCCTTTTTATTGTTTATATAATAAAGATATGCAACATTTTGATCCATATCCCCATTATCTGACATCCAGGATGTTATCAACTCCCTGGATAACATCCTGAAGACAAAGAAAGCGGAAATGTACACTTAACAACCAGATATCACCTAAAGACCAGTCAAAAAGAGGCAAAACTTGCTACTAATGCGCCAGGGTAAGTCCACCTGCTGTACAGTTTGCTCTCAAGAAACAACCAACATCCAAAACACTATATATACCACCTGATAGCATGACCTCTCATATATTCACACAACCTTACACAGAATATTATAACATGACATTACGGGTATACCACATCTGGCAATTCACTCCTTCAATAATGAACTAATAACCTTGTGTCATGTTGCATATCTTTATTTCCTGTACATGGGAAAATATAATACTAATAATAATAATAATAATAATAATAATAATAATAATAATAATGCCATGGAGATGTATGGTATAAAATACCGACACGATGGAAAAGTAATGTGATCATTTATTGACAACATATCGCCCACACAGTAGACTTTATCAAGTCAGAAACTGGTGGAGAATGTTGGGGAGGTTGGACTCGAGACGGACCTGCAGGTAATTCTGTTAGTGACTAGTTCTAGTTCTGATGACCAGAGCTTTGGTAAGATGG